AATAGCCAAATTTCTCGTATCAAACATAAGCTAAAAGAACTCGCCAAGGAGTTTGTTTTGTCCTGGCTGATAAGGCTGCTAACAATATCATTATTGTTTGACGTAAATTTTACATTGAGGTTCTAAAAAAGGAAATCAAGAATTCACCAACATTCCAACTGACTCCATTTTCGGAAAATAACATCTGTAACAAACATAAACTTTTAGCTACTTCTTTACACGCAGAACCAAATACAAAGTAAGTTCCAACTATGTACTGGCTGCACAAAACTCCTTACAAATATAGATTTATTTCGTCTTTAAGCCATTATTCCACTACTAAACTATCTATTCTACTTACTAGTACACTTGGAACAATAAAAAACCAGGTAATAAATTGTTCAAATAAGGCCTTTGAAAATAGTGGAACTAATTACTTTTGGAGTGTCAAAAATTCGTTTGGAAGTACTTGATAAATTGCATGCTTATATTGGTGATTTTGAATCTGTTCAAAGTTCTGATTTTTCTACCCTATATACTACTTTGACTCATAATCTTATTAAGAAAAAAATTCACACACCTGATTAAATGGGCATTTAAAAAGTCGGAATGCAAATATATATGTTCGAACTCTTTTATGTCATTTTTTAGTAACAACAAACAAAAGAACTATGTCAATTGGACTTGCTTTGATACTATAACTGCCCTTAAATTTTTACTAGATAACATTTTTGTTCGCTATCGAGATTCCGTATATCGTCAAGTTATCGGAATTCCCATGGGAACTAACTGTGCACCACTTATTGCGGACCTGTTTCTGTATTGTAATGAGTTACAATATATGACTAAAATCAGCAAAGAACCACCGAAACAACATCTGATTCAAAAATTTAATAACACTTTTAGATATTTAGATGATATATTGGCTCTCAATAATGACGACTTCAGTATGTACACTAAAGAGATTTATCCTGCCGAACTGACTTTAAATAAAGCTAATACTAACAATGAACACTGCCCTTTACTGGATCTTGATATCTATATCTTTAACGGGAAGCTTAATACAAAAATTTATGATAAAAGAGATGATTTTTCATTTCCTATTTTTAATTATCCATTTTTAGATGGTGACGTTTCCTTGTCACCATCTTATGGTGTTTATATATCTCAACTTGTCCGATTCGCTCGTGTATGTAACAACGTATTTGATTTCAACGAAAGAAAACTCTGTATTACTGAAAAATTATTATACCAGGGTTTTCGATATCACAAACTAGTCAAAACATTTACGAAATTTTATCATCGGTACAAGGACATCATTCGTAAATATAAATCAACATGCAGACATCTTATACGTTCAGGTATTTCACATCCAATATTTTATGGTAATATTCTTTACAAAGCACAAAAATGTAGGCATTCACCTCAAAAACTAACAAAACCTTCAAACAGACTTATCCGGAAGGGATATAGTTACGATACTGTTGTCAGGTCATTAAGGATTGCATATTTTGGTATCAATATTGATTCACTCATAGGGTCTTTGCATCGGAAATAAACATTTATTCTAAAACCAGTTGTTGGCATGATACAGGTTATGTTCTTCTCATATATTTTATGATGGTATGATACTAAACCCCTAACGGGAGGAATTGTACCTGATTTTCATATGATGAAGACATAATCTTTCAATCAGTTTAATTGATGTCTGGAGCTGGCATGTCAGTAACTGCTAGTAGTCCTTTGTTTATTTATGTATCATTGTCATGTTGCTTAGTTTCTTTTGTTACCTATTCTGACATCGGACTCGGACTTCTTTTAAACTGAGTTTTACTGTGCGTATTGCTATGTGTTTTTTTATTCTACATTGGCTAGAGGTATAGGGGGAGGGTTGAGATCTCACAAAACATGTTTAACCCCGCCGCATTTTTGCGCCTGTCCCAAGTCAGGAGCCTCTGGCCTTTGTTAGTCTTGTATGTTTTTTTTTTAATTTTAGTTCCTTTATATGTTTTGGAGTTTAGTGTGACGTCCATTTTCACTGAACCAGTACACACTTTTATTTAGGGGGCAGCTGATGACCACCTCCAGGTGCGGGATTTTCTCGCTAAGTTGAAGACCCATTGGTGGCCTTCGGCTGTTGTCTGCTCTTTGGTCGGGTTGTTGTCGCTTTGACATATTCCCCATTTCCATTCTCAATTCTAAGAAAAGTCAAAGTTTCCCCAAGCTGACTTATTTGTAGATCTTGTTTTGCTGATCATATTTGCAATTCAAAGTTTGTATCTATCTATAATAATTTCAAGATAATAGGTAAAAACACAAACAAGAGTGCACACACGCTGAAATGTCTAGCCTGTTTTACTGACCATTGATTTTATGTTGAAAGTCTTAAAGATAAAGGTTTTACTAAAAGCATTGCAGAAACTTAACATTTTAAAAATGTATGACAATGAGGTCAAGGTCAGATAAATTGTGTCAGACAAACACAAAAACTTAACATTGAAATGACCATAAATATGAGGTCAAGGTCAGATGATACCTGCCAGACAGACATGTGCACCTTAAAATTATTCCATACACCAAATATAGCTGACCTATTGCTATAAGTATTTGAAAAAAGACCCAAAACACAAAACTTAACATTGACCATTGAACCATAAAAATGAGGTCAAGGTCAGATGATACCTGCAAGACAGACTTTCTTGTACACCTTACGATCATTCCCTACACAAAATATAGTTGACATATTGCATATAGTACTTGAAAAACCGACCAAAAAACAACTAGAGGCTCTCAAGAGCCTGTGTCGCTCACCTGTATTTACTGATGCTTTGGAAATCATGTAAAATAAGGTTAAAATCATAATTAATAGTATTAGATATTAGATATTAAAATGATATCTAAGATAATAACAAAAAACTGCAAAATTTTTGTAAAATTACTAACTCAGGGGCAGCAACCCAACAACGGGTTGTCTGATTCGTCTGAAAATTTCAGGGCAGATAAATCTAAATCTGATGAACATTTTTGCTACCTGTCAGATTTGCTCTAAATGCTTTAGTTTCAATGATATAAACCAAAAACTGCATTTTACCCCTATGTTCTATTTTTAACCAAGTTGGCCATATTGGTTGGAAGGCGGGGTCATCGTACAAATTTTTAAAACTAGATACCCTAATAATGATTATGGCAAAGGATGGTTAAATTTGTCTCAGTAGTTTCAGAGAAGAAGATTTTTGTAAAAGATTACAAAAATTTACAAAAAATTGTTAAAAATTGACTATTAAGGGCAATAACTCCTAAAGGGGTCGACTGACAATTTTGGTCATGACAACTTATTTGTAGATCTTTCTTTGCTGAACATTATTGCTGTTTACAGTTTATCTCTATCTTTAATAATATTCAAGATAATAACCAAAAACTACAAAATTTCCTTAAAATTACCAATTCAGGGGCAGCAACCCAACAATAGGTTGTCAGATTTGTCTGAAAATTTCAGGGCAGATAGATCTTGACCTGATAATCAGTTTTACCCTATGTCAGATTTACTCTAAATGCTTTGGTTTCAGAGATATAAGCCAAAATCTACATTTTACCCCTATGTTCTATTTTTAGCCATGGCGGCCATCTTGGTTGGTTGGCGGGGTCATCGGACACATTTTTTAAACTAGATACCCTAATGATGATTTTTGTAAATAGCTAACAACGACAACGACAACGACGACGACGGACATGAGAAAAGCTCACTTGGCCCTTAGGTCCAGGTGAGCTAAAAAACTTAATATTGGCCAATGAACCATGAAAATGAGGTCAAGGTCAGATGATAGCTGCCACACAGACATGTGCACCTTACAATCTTTCCATACACCAAATATAGTAGACGTATTGCTTATAGTACTTGAAAAAAAGACCCAAAACACAAAAACTTAACATTGACCAATGAACCATGAAAATGAGGTCAAGGTCAGATGATACCTGCCAGACAGACATGTACACCTTACATTCTTTCCATACACCAAATATAGTAGACCTATTGCTTAAAGTACTTGAAAAACAGACCAAAACACAAACACTTAACATTGACCAATGAACCATGAAAATGAGGTCAAGGTCAGATGATACCTGTGAGACAGACTTGTACACCTTATAATCATTCCATACACCAAATATAATTGACCTACTGCTTATAGTATTTTAGAAATGGACCTAATCATGTAACTTTAACCATGATCACTGAGTCATTAAATGAGGTCAAGGTCAGGTGAACTCTGTCTGACGGACATGTAGACATTGCTAGGAACCCATATATCAAATATAGTTATCCAATTACTCATAATGAGTGAGAAATTCACAAGACAAAAAAAAATCAAATTTTTTTTCAAGCAGTCGGTGAACCATGAAAATGAGGTCAAGGACAATGGACATATGATTGACGGAAACTTTGTATCATAAGGTATCTGCATACAAGGTATGAAGCATCCAAGTCTTCTACCTTCTGAAATATAAAGATTTATACAAATAGTATATGCCGACGCCGCCGGATAGTAATACTTATGTCTCGCATACTGCGACTTTTGTCGCAGGCGAGACAAAAAATTGGAAAATTGTCATTTAACAGCAATAAATCATATAAGGACTCTCTACATTCTAAACATTTCTGCCCAACAGATTTTCTATGTCTATAGATGTTTTCAAGATAATAGAAAAAACTTTATTTTACATCTATATTCTATTTTTAGCCCTGTATGTCATGTTGATTGGCAGGTGAGGTCACTGACACAATTTTTAAACTAGATACCCCAATGATAATTGTGGCCAAATTTGGTTATAATTGGCCCAGTAGTTTCAGAAGAGAAGATTTTTGTAAAAGTTAACATATGACTGAATACGACACTGGATGCAAAGGGATGAGAAAAGCTCAATAAAAAAGTTGTAAGGAATAGGTATGTTTATTCCCATGCCAGAATTAAACTCTGAATCTGCAGCATACGAAACAAACAACTTGACCAATACATAACATGATAGGCACTGTAAATATCTTTATTAAGAAGAAGAAGTATACATATACATGATATAGTAAAGCAGAATACACTTAAATAGTCCAACAAAATTTCTTAGAGGTTTAAATGTAAATAGATAAAAAATATTATGTGTTTTCAGAACAGATCTAAAACTGATAAAGTCCATTAAATAATTTAAACAACATTCTTAAATTTTTTTTGTATGTTGCCTTATTTCAAAACTTGTCTAACTATCTTGGTTATTTTTAATGATCTATATAGTAAACATAGTATATTATCTACATGAGAATCTTGAACATAATTGACTATAAATAACAAAATTCCTCTGATGATAATGTCCTTGTAACAAGGGTTGCAGAAAATAAAATACAATAGCATTATTTGAGGGGGGCTGTAGTACAAGTGTTATACATGTCAATAGCTCATGTTTAACAAAACCTCTTTAAAGGTTATAATCAATATCAGAATGTTTTTGACAAAAATCTGGGAATGCTTTAATAACTTTGAATGAAAAATGATAATCAGTTTATTTTTTTAAATTTTAAATCACAATAACTGTTTAACATACAACTTTATATATTTTTACAATAATATAAACTATTTTATACAACACATGAGAAATGACTAGATTTATATTAGCAAATAACAATTTAATTGTAAACATTTAGTGTACAAGACATCAATTGTTAACAAATTTATACAAGTTCTTATTTATGAAAAAAATAGGTATCAAGAAAAAATTTCAAGGAGGCCTCATTATGGCACTGAAATATCATTTTTATTATTTACCATCAAGTAGTAATGCCATTTTATAATAGATTCTTTTCATTAACTCAAACACCTTAAACAGGAAAATAAGTAATCGCTGCCTAAAAATCACTGAAATTTCAAACGAACAAATGAAGCACAATTATTATGTGCAATATTGATCTTTTGTAAATCTACTTTCTAAATGGCAGTTACTACTATGACATAACTTATTGCAAATATTGGCAATTGATGCAACTTCTCCTTTATAAATCCTTTAAAAATACTAAGGATTTTCTACCCAGGAATAGATCACCTTAGCTGTATTTGGCAAAAATATTCAAATTTTGGGTGGATGCTCTTAACTTCGTATTTATTTGGCCTTCTTAAATTTGTTGATTCAGCATCACTGATGAGTCTTTTGTAGACGAAATGTGCCTCTGTCGTACAAAATTTTAATCCTGGTATCTATAATGAGTTTATCTATAAATATTTGTCCCTTCAATTTGGATTTTGTACACATGAATGGGAACGATAGGAGGAATTTCAAATGGTTTGGAAAATGACTCATTAAAGTCAAACAAGGATAATAGTACATGAGGGGAAATGAATTCAAAATATTCAGCGAGATTTCTCCAAAGCATATAAAAATACATGTATCTACAAAAGTAATGACAATTCTTATAAAGGAATATAATACAGTATTCTAAACCAAGTCCAGAACAATAAATATAAATATACAACGCTTTGTTTCTCCACAACATAATCTGCTAAGGTTAATTTCCAATAATCTCAATTAAGTTTGTCATAGTTAACTTAAAAGTAACATTAATATAAAAAAAAAATTGGTACCAATGCAATACACACAAAGGTGATTTGGCATTGTTACTGGCGTGGACTAATTCGATGTTGGTGATTGGAGGTGATAACAGTCTTGATTTATGACCCTGACATATATCATCTACATTATCTCTATGCCTATATCACCCTGCTCAGTCCCTCCATTATTGTTGTATCAAGGCTTTGAGAAGTGAGCAGGCATTATCCATGATGTCACAATGTATGAGGAGAAGTTATCAGTGACGTCACAATGTGTGAGGAAAACTGTCTTTCGTCAAATGTATAACTTTCTAAGGGAGGGGGGGGGGGGGGGGGAACCAGTAATAGAACGATAGACAGATTATTGGTTTTCTACGTATAGATATCGACACAATGTGAAGCTTTTTGCTAGTCAACTGAACTCACTCGCCAAAAAGGTTCTCATTGTAGCTCATGGCAGATATTTTATGATAAAAATGGGAAGAAAACCCAATAATCTATACTTATATACAGAGACATCTTTCAGAGTGAATCACCAGAAACAACTAGCATTCACCCAATATTCACAATCAAGAGTGAATCTTTAAAGATCGATTGATTGTTCTAGTTTAACGTCACTTTCAGAATTTTAGCTATTTTAGAATTTAACCAGTTTTTATTGGAAGAGTAAGCTGGATTCCCTCTGAGAAATAAAATCAACCTTCTGCAGGAAAAGTGGCAATACTAGTCAATAAAGATGAGATTTTAATGCACCTTGCCATGAGATGAGTTCCTCAGCACTGACAGGCTAGTGATCACTATAGATGATCTATTTAGACCACTAGGCCACTGAGGCACAAATTTTAAAATAAATCATCTAATGTTTGTTGTACCTGTAGAAAATATATGGTTTCTTTATATATTTACTGAGATTACTTTTGATGAGATGTTAGAAATATATCTTCTGTGTAAAAAAAATATAAATAAACAAATAATGCTACAACTTACATGAGGGTGTGATGGGGGTTTACAGAATAGAGAATAATGGGGAAAAAACATAAACAATAGAGAAAATGGACCAAAAAAATAAAGAATAGAGAATAACAAGGTGCTAAAAAACTGGGACTATTATACTAACGGGACTGGAAACTGATCGATATGTTGAGATTACATTGCCCTGATAGCGGATTATTGATTTTTTGTTTTGATTGAAGTAGTCAATATATTAGTGTTGAAAATAAAACAGATACAGTCAAAATGGCGGCCCTTTACTTGACCCCTAAGAAAACAGAAAACAACGTGTCAAAGGTTAACAGATCATAATTAATCCTGATAAAAACAATAAGTGTGCAATAAAAACAATAAGTGTGCAATAAAAACAATGTTGACAATTTCAGTTCATAATTAATTCATATAACAAAAGTTACCCGGGTCTCATAAAAATATCATGTAGCCACATTGTTTTGAACTTTTATGAACTTCATGTTTACATCAAAATTTCAATATGGCTGTCATTTTTTTGTCATTTTGTAGTTCTGATTGTGGATACTAATGTACATATTTTCACGAAGTAATATGGTAATGTCACCTGAATACCATTACTAAGCAATATTAACCCTGATTTTAATAAAAATATTGCACACATAAAAAGGAGTAAGCAATTTTATAAGAACAGTATAATTTATTTGAGCCGTGCATGTGGGTTCTGGTTGTTATTGAGAAAGTGATTTATATTCCACTTTTCACTTTAAAAAGTGACAATAAAAATAAGCAAATCCAAACTATAACCTATCAATATGATTTTACAACAAACGGAACTCGCGTATCTCGTTTCAATCAACAGTTATAAGAAATTTTATGAATCATATACGTTTTCCCACATCGTCCCTACGCTATTATCATCCTGAAAATTTCAATCTTTATACGTCATTTTTTACACTTGAGACTGGATTTGGTGATTTATAACAACTGTCAAAGATCGAGATATCTTTTATCATTATAGTAACCATGTTTTTATTAAGGATTGTCATTTCAAATAACTATAAAATAAAAAAATAAATTACCAGAATTATAAGATCAAGGCACGCTGTCACTGTCAAAACAATATGGGTATCGATAAATAGCGCAGGTAAAGTCTCATTCTAACGACCGTGATGTTGAGTATTATTACACTGATTGGTGTAACGGTTTCCAGTCCTGTTAGTATAATAGTCCCAGTACAAAATAAAGAATAGAGAATAATGGCCAAAAAGTATAAAGAATTGAGAAAAATGGCCTAAAAAATTAAAGAATACAGAAATAAGAGACCCCCCCTCCCCCCCCCCCCCCCCCAATCCAGACCTTCTTACATACAAATAATATTTCGAGTACATATAATAAGTTTCAATTATATTAACAAATATTAAAACCAACAGGTAATATAATAAATTGTATAAATACTACAAGCACCATTTAATTTTCATGTATATCTAATTAATTATCCTGGCATTAAACTAAAATACATAATAAGCTATACAATGTAGATTATACATGAATTATATGTTTTAAAAAACTTTACAATTTCTGTAAGAACTGAAAGACATTTTGTCACTTTAATTATTATGCTTAGGAAACAATACAAAATTATACAAAGAGCCAAAAATCCTAATAAACATTATGTAGGTTCCAATGGACTATTATTTATTACATCATTCTTAATTTATTTTCTGAGAGGTAAAATCCAATACTACATGCAGGAATTTAAAAATCCTGCAAATGTCTCTGACAATTTAAAAGCTATTTTGACCAACATGATATTCTTTCCTGATCTGCTATTTATGCATTGCCAGAAAAAGTTAAACAGTTAAATCCAATGTTGATGTATTCAATTATTGTATCTTCACCTTATATCAAGTTTTATCTAATTCTAGGTTAATAATATTAAGATTAAAATGATAACTGAAAGGTTGCATGTTTATGAATTTATATATGTACAACTTAAAAATTTTAACAACCTAATTTTACAGTAATTACATGTATCCAATGAATTTTTTATGTATATCACTAAAATACAAAATTTAACATGTCACAAGAAATTACTAATAATCTCTCATGTATTTAAACTATACTGAAAATAGGAAAACATAACCCAATAAAAATGCCCGAATTATGGAGGGAAAATAAAAAAGATCTTTTATCCTGGCAGATTGTTCATAGTTTGAGAAAATATTTACATGTGTAGATTAATTCATACAAAAATCAAATCATAAAAATTCCAACTTCAGCCAATGATGTTGCTGGGTTATGATGATTTTTTTCTCTCTACATTTTAAAAATAAGTATGAAATTCATAAATTTATATTCTTGCAAATTCTAACATTATTTTTACTAATTTGTTAGGCTCTCCCAGAAAACTACAGGCAATTTTTCAAAATGTAAGAACATGTGAATGAATATTTAATGTTCACATACTTTACACTTTAATAAATCTTAGGAATCAGTGGCATATTAAGGGGTGTAGAGGGTGTAACTTTTATTGTAAAAATCAAGATTTTTTTTACTTAAATTCGTCAATAATAAGCTGTAAAAATCTGAAGAAGGGAAATAACTTCCTTAAACTAAAACAAATTCATTTTTTGGCATATTGTACTAAGTTATAAGAAAGAAAAATGAATATGCTGTGAATTTTTGTACATACCAAATTTCATTTACTGAGAACAAATTCATTTAAATAGACATTTGAATACATATGTTTGACAAATTCTGTATTGAAGTCTACTTTATGCAGTATAAGGCCAAAAGTATTTGACATCTATATTTTTTTATATATATTTCATAGCTAACTGTGCTACCCTCTTTAAATAAAGAATTATTTAAAAAAAAACAATAATAATTAATAAAAACACATTTAAGAAATAAATATTTTAACAGCATTTATGGTTGAATTTTTACAAACAAGGTGTTGAAAGACACCGATTTGTCTTAAGTGTATATCTGTTTATTTGGTAAGTTTTGTTTTCAGTTGTTTTTTGTTTTCTCCTAATGTGAACATGAAGGTTAAAATGGGATAGATTGGAAACCAAGTAAGTTATAATTTGCATTTTGTTTTGATGTAATATTTTTTTACAATTTAATTTGGTTATAATACATAAAGGTAATTGTTTATATCATCATAGAATGAAAAAGCTCCACAACTAAAATGCAAACATATATATTAATAAACCTGTGACAATTATGCTTCTATTGGTATCAAATTGATCAAAACCCAACCAGAAATGACCCTATAATAATTTTTTGAAAAGTTGAAGTTCTATATGAAATATACAGAAAAATCCCAAGTGACAAATATTCATGGTCACACACTGTATTCGGTTGGAACACTTGAATTTGTGTTTCACCTAAACAACCAAATCAACAAAAAAACCTGCAATACAAATTAAATATAAATTGTAATTAATGTCTAATATTTGACTACACTGCTGGAACTTCATCCGGATTATTGATAGATCCATAATTCTCATGTCCACCGTAGTTTATCACACCATTAGCATCCACTTGGATTTCTTCTTCTGTCATTTTCTCATTAGAAAGTCTTTCAAAGTCTGTAGCACTATAAATTCGAAACTGTATAACAAGCTGATTAAAAGTTAAGGAATATGTATAATATACTGTAAATTCAATTATTATCATATTGAGTTAATTAAGGTTAAAATGGAACAGACTGGAAATCAAGTAAGTTATTTGCATTTTGTTTTGGTGCAATATTTTATAACATGAATGAACCTATACAGCTATCAACACACATATTATATTCTGAATTTACCTTTTATTTTGTTCAACTCAGTATCATTGTAAATATCTTATCTATTAATCCTCTACACTTTGTAAAAAAATTATTAAACGTCTTATGATTCTGGCCAAATATTTTTTATATCAACTTTACTTAAAATAAGATAACTATGAAACCAGGTAGCATTTTGCATTTTTAAGTAGTCTTAATGCCATCATAGCAACAACCATCAGGACTTGAATGTAAGAAAAAAAACCAAAAGAACAAAGTCTAAGGATTGGTATTGAACAATTTCTAAACCCTAGTTATGAATACTTACAGTAAAGGGTTTATGAAATAAAGTTTGTGATTGTTGAATATACTTTGATCTACTTCATACTATATTAAAGCTGTTAAGACATTACAAGAAGAGTACAACTTCTAGATGGAGTTTTAAAGTCCTTTTCTTAGCTGTAAAACAGCCAACAATTGTGGATTTAAATAAAAGGATACAGACACATCCAACAGGACAACACCAAGACTGCCAACCAACCACGGAAGATGCATGACAATCCAGTCTGTTTCTATGGATCTAACTAAAATAGACAGTCCATAAGTCACATTACCAAGTATAGCCAACCAGAACATCATCAGAGCCAGGCCATCTGTAGACTTTCTTTTATACTGAAATAAAAAAAACATACACATCAAACTACAATGAACAAGGACAAGAATGTCCTGCCCTCTACAAGGTCCATAATTCAATGAAAAATGAGTCATCTGGTCAAGATTAGGAAAAATCCATGTTATGCAGAAAAAAAAAAATCAAAGATACCCAGTTAATATTTTGTACTCCAGAAAAGCATTTTGTTTACAAATGATTCATCAGTGATACTCGATTAAAACATTCAAAACAAATAAAGGACGAAGTTGAAGAGCATTGAAGATCCAAAATTCAAAAAAAAAAATTTCAAATACAGCTAAGGTAATCTATTCCAGAGGGTAGTAAATCCTTAGTATTTTGAACATTTCAAAGGTTTGTTAAGATTTAAGAAACCCAATCAAAAGTGCACATGCTGAAATGTCCTGCAATATTTTTGATGATCGAAATATTGAAAGTATTTAAGATAAAGGTTTTATTACAGGTATCACATATACTTTAATAACATGATCAATAATCCATATAAATTAGGTCAATGTCAGATAAACTCTGCAAGACAGATAAGTACACCTCACTATCATTCCATACCCTAAGTATAGTAGACATATTGTTTATGGTATCTGAGAAATGGATCTAACCATAAAAACTTATTGCTGAATAATGAATCATGGTCATCATACAAAATGAGACTAAGGTCAGATGAAACCTACCAGTTGGACATGTACACCTTACAATCTTTCCATACATCAAATAGTTGACTTATTCATTACAGTATCTGAAAAAGGTACCTAACCACTTAAACTTAGCGTAGACCAATATACTATAAATCTGAGGTCAAGGTTATATTAACCCTGCCAGATAGACATGTTCACTTTAAATCATTCCATACATTAAAGTTGACCTATTGCTTATAGTACCTGAGAAAAAGGCTTAACCACAAAAACTGATCTATGAAATTAGGTCAGCTGAACCCTGTCTGACAGCCATGAAGACCATGCAATGATTTAATTTATAAAATATAGTTATCAGTCACTGAACCATGAAAAAGAACTTACATTTTTATATAACTGTGCTAGTCTAGAACCTATATAAAATAAACTTGATATCACGCCTATTGCATATCCTACTTCATCTTCTAAACCCTGAAATATAAAAATGCGGCATTACTTAATCATATATCATGTGTAAATTAATACCATGCCTATTGACAACAAATTACAGAAAAAAAAATAACATATACCTGTAAAAGAGAGTCGACAGATACCAGAGGGACATTCAAACTCATAAATCGAAAATAAACTGACAACGCCATTGCTAAACAAGAGGCTCTCAAGAGCCTGAATCGCTCACCTGTAATATTTTCCTTAAATCTTTCATCAAAGATTATTTTTTCTTTTTAATATACATTAATGAGCAGCTAAAAAATTCCATTGAGATGTTCTTTGTATCTGTCATATTTTCTTCAAAAACAAAGAAATACATTTTACCCCTATGTTCCATTTGAGCCATAGTGGCTATGTTTCTTGACGTAAAGAAAATCAAATACAAAATTTATACTAGATACTCTGAAACTCATTCAGCCCAAGTTTGGCTGAAATTGATTCAGCAGTTTCAAAGGAGAAGATTTTTTAAAGTAAGCAAACTAGATGAACAAACTGTGAAAAATTGTCTTTAAAGGGCAATAACTCCTTAAGAACACATTTGACAATTTTGGTCATATAAACTTATTTGTAGATCTTACTTTGTTGAACATTTTTGCTGTTCACAGTTTATCTTTATCATTAATAATATTCAAGATAATAACCAAAAACTGTGAATTTCCTTAAACTTACCAATTTAGTGGCAGCAACCCAACAATGGACTGTTAGATTCGTCTGAAAATTTCATGGCTGATAGAACTTGGCCTAATGAACATTTTAACCTCTCATCAGATTTGCTCTAATTGCTTAAGTGTTTGAGATATATTAGCCAAAAACTTCATTTTACCCCTATGTTCTAATTTTAGCTATGGCCGCCATGTTTTTTGACAAAACAGAAAATAAAACACAATATTTATTCTAGATACCATAAGGATCATTCAGCTTAAGTTTGGTTGGAATTGGTTCAGTAGTTTCAGAGGAGAAGATTTTTTAAAGTTAGAAAACATGATAAACAAATTGTGTAAAATTGTCCTCAAAGGGCAATACTCCTTAAGGGGTCAATTGACAATTTTGGTCATATAAACTTATTTGTAGATCTTAATTTGCTGAACATATTTGCTGTTTACAGTTTATCTTTATCATTAATACTATTCAAGATAATAACCAAAAACTGCAAAATTTCCTTAAAATTACCAATTTAGTGGCAGCAACCCAACAATGGGTTATTAGATTCATCTGAAAATTTCATGGCTGATAGAACTTCACCTAATGAACACTTTTACCCATGTCAGATTTGTTCTAACTCCTTTGGTTTTTTAGATATAAGCCAAAAACTGCATTTTACCCCTAAGTTCTTTTTTTAGCCATGGTGGCCATGTTTTTTGACAAAACAGAAAATAAACCACAAACTTTATTCTAGATACCCTAAGGATCATTCAGCTTAAGTTTGGTTGGAATTGGTTCAGTGGTTTCAGAGGAGAAAATTTTTTAAAGTTAGAAAACATGATAAACATTGTGTAAAATTGTCCTTAAAGGGCAATTACTCTTTAAGGGATCAATCGACAATTTTGGTCATATAAACTTATTTGTAGATCTTACTTTGCTGAACATATTTGCTGTTTACAGTTTATCTTTATCATTAATACTATTCAAGATAATAACCAAAAACTGCAAAATTTCCTTAAAATTACAAATTTAGTGGCAGCAACCCAACAATGGGTTATTAGATTCATTTGAAAATTTCAGGGCTGATAGAACTTTACCTTAAGAACACTACCACCCCATGTCAGATTTGCTCTAACTGCTTTGGTTTTTGAGATATGAGCCAAAAACTGCATTTTACCCCTATGTTCTATTTTTAGCCATGGTGGCCATGTTTTTTGACTAAACAGAAAATAAAACACAAACTTTATTCTAGATAACCTAAGGATCATTCATCTTAAGTTTGGTTGGAATTGGTTCAGTAGTTTCAGAGGAGAAGATGTTTGAAATAGTTTACACCAGACGGACGACGACGATGACGTAGGACACCCAGTGATGGCTAAAGCTCACCGTTCCTTTGGAACGGTGAGCTTAAAAGATGAAGACAAACAACAGAACACAAAACACAACATAAAAAACTGAAGACTGAGCAACACGAACCCCACCAAAAACTGGGGGTGGGATTGTAGTTACGACATAAGGAACATATCCGTTGTCATCTGTGAAAGGGATATTCCATAACGGTCAACCAACTCGTGATGGTGTCCGTAAAACTTACAAAGGGATGATTTCAACTTCACCACTTGAAACTCTTGGTTTAATAGCTTCCTTGTGAGCAGCAACCCTCTATCAAGGAATAATGATAGGAAATACAAGCCCTGGAATATTGTATCAACTGGGAGATATATACTCAGTATGCAGGCGCTGCTGGTATGTTGCTACATAGAAATGGAAAGTTCACAATTGGGACGCTGAAATCATCTCTTTTGTCGTAAAGTTTTGTTTTCAACTGACCCTCATTGTCAATTTCTATATGTTAGTCAAGATATGAGGCAGACTAAACTGTATCTGTTGTATTCTTTATCTCAAGTTCGATGGGATAGATGCGTTCAACATAATCACCAAATTTTGAATTATTTAGTGAGAGAACATCATCTATATAGCGGAACGTAAAGTTAAAGGATACTGCTAACTTCTTTTCTTTCTTCCTAGGAAGTTCCTGTATGAAGTCAGCCTCATATGAATAAAGGAACAAGTCGGCAAGAAGAGGGGCACAGTTTGTTCCCATGGGAATGCTGATTGTTTGTTGAATAACATGTCCTCCAATATAACAAATATGTTGTCAATCAAGAAATCAAGCATCTTGATAATGTCAGTTTCAGAGAATTTTTTGTTGGAATAAGTGATTTTTTTACCTAAGACAAGATACTTGTATCTATGTTGGCCATTCTTTTTTATGAAACAAAGCAGGACCAAATTTATGACCTTTTGAAGGTTGTTTTCATTCTTAAATGATAAATTTAATTTTCCTGTTTTCTTTTTAAATTTTAGTCATTTACCTTAGCCCTGATTTAAAATATGTTGAGCTGCAACTCCCCCCCCCCCCTTTTTTTTTTAATTAACACACAGGTGGGGACAAAAGTCTTTTGCAACTCAATTATACCTTCCAAATTTTTTTCAAAATTCTATGGATGAAAGATGAATTGCATGAATGTATTTTCCTCAAAATATGACAAAAATTGCATACTGTAAATTCAGAAATTATTGCGAGGTTTTTATTTATTGCGCATTTTGATATCTGATGCATATAACGGTATGCATATTTTCCTGAAATAGCAATAATCAATCTCGCATTTATGTCCATTCTTCAAAAATCGCAATATTAAATGCACGCAATAATTTCTAAATATACAATAATTGTGAAGTTATGGATACTATACTTCCTGTTTCAAGTCTTGTCTATGTGCATCTTTGTCAATGGACATGTTCCAATATTGCAGACTAAAATATTATTCATGACTAAAATGTCTTTTTTTGTTAGACTTGCTGATATTTTTTCTGTTTACAATTTCTCTTTATCTTCTATAGTTTTTGCTCAAAACACAAAAAGGATGAACAAATTCATCTAAGGGCAATAACTCCTATAAGAAGACAACTAACAAATTTAACTACATGGATGCTGACCAATTTCCATATCTCGTCTTGCTGATCATTTTTGATTTTTATAGTTTTTTCATTATTGTTTTCAAGATAATAGGCAAAGCCACAAAAACTTAATAACAAGAGTGCACACGCTGAAATGTCTCTCCTGTTTTACTGACCATTGATTTTATGTTGAAAGTCTGAGATAAAGGTTTTACTACAAGTATCACATAAACTTAACATTTTTAAAGATCCATGACAATGACTTCAAGGTCAGATAAAAACTGCCACACAGACATGTACACCTTACAGTTATTCCATACACTAAATAAAGTTGACCCATTGCTTATGGTTATTGAAAAACAGTCAAAACACAAAAAATTAACAATGACCAATGATCCATGAAAGTGAGGCCACGGTCAGATGAAACCTGCCAGACAGACATGTACCCCTTACAATCATTCCATACACCACATATAGTTGACCTATTGCTTACAGTATTTGAAAAACAGACCAAAACACAAAATATTAACAATGACGAATGAACCATGAAATTAAGGTCAAGGTCAGATAAAACCGAACATGGCATGAATGTTCCTTATGAAGTGCTGACCAAGTGTTGATACTTTGAAACCGATCCATCATCCAAGATGGCCACCAGCTGGGGACAATGTTTAACAAAGGACCCTATGGACAATAGATACAAATGTCTTCTTTTAGAGAACCACGTACTGAATGGATTGAAACCAAACATGGCATGAATGTTCCTTATGAGGTGCTGACTAAGTGTTGTTACTTTGAAGCTGATCCTTCATCCACGATGGCCGCCAGTGGGGGGATTTCCTTTAACATAAGACCCTATGGGAAATACATACAAATGCTGACATTTACCCCTTACAATTATTCCATACACCACATATAGTTGACCTGCTGCTTGTAGTATCTGAGAAACGGACCTAATCACGTAACTTTAAACTTGATCACTGATCAATGAATTGAGGTCGAGGTCGGGTTAACCCTGTTTGACGGACATGTAGACGTTGCAAGGAACCCATATACCAAATATAGTTATCCTATTACTCAAAATAAGTGAGAAATTAACATGACAAAAAAAACTGTATTTTTTTTTTCAAGCAGTCCCTGAACCATGAAAATGAGGTCAAGGACAATGGGCATATGACAGGCGGCAACTTCGTAACATTAGGTATCTGCATACAAGGTATGAAGCATCCAGGTCTTCACCTTCTGAAATACAAAGCTTTATACAAATAGTTTACGCCACTGCCGCAGGATAGTAATACCTATGTCTCGCATTACTACGAAAAAAAAAAGGCAAGACAAAAATTGTCATTTATTGGCACTAAATCATATAAAGAGTTGACCAACAATTTCAGCAATATTGATTTATTTGTAGATCTTGTATTACTGGTTATTTTTGCTGTTTAAAGTTTCTATTGATCTATTATAGTTTTCAAGATAATAGGCAATACCACAAAAAAATGGTAAAAATTGTCAATTAAGGGCACCAAATCATATAAAGAGTCAACGATTTCAGCAATATTGATTTATTTGTAGGTCTTCTCTTGCTGATCATTTATGCATTTTCAAGGTCATAGGTAACTAGAGGCTCTCAAGAGCCTGTGTCGCTCCCCTGATCCTGAAATCATGTAAAAATAGATTAAAATCATAACAGGTACCCTAATAATGAGTGAGGCCAAATTTGGTTTTATATTGGTCCTGTAATTAAATAAAAAATCCTGGTGGCCATCTTGAACAGCAAATCGGCAACAAAGTAGCAACACTTCATCAGCACCTCATAAAAAATATTTATGCCATGTTTGGTTTCATTCCATTCAGTGCACCTCTAGAAGAAGCATTTGTATGTATTTCCCATAGGGTCTTATGTTAAAGGAAGTCCCCCCACTGGCGGCCATCGTGGATGAAGGATCAGCTTCAAAGTAACAACACTTAGTCAGCACCTCATAAGGAATATTCATGCCATGTTTGGTTTCAATCCATTCAGTACGTGGTTCTCTAAAAGAAGACATTTGTATGTATTGTCCATAGGGTCCTTTGTTAAACATTGTCCCCAGCTGGTGGCCATCTTGGATGATGGATCGGTTTCAAAGTAACAACACTTGGTCAGCACTTCATAAGGAACATTCATGCCATGTTTGGTTTCATTCCATTCAGTGGTTCTCTAAAAGAAGACATTTGTATGTATTTCCCTCAGGGTCCTATGTAAAACTAAGTCCCCCGCTGGCGGCCATCTTGGATTATGGATCGGCTTGAAAGTAACAACACTTGGTCAGCACCTCATAAGGAACATTCATGCCATGTTTGGTTTCATTCCATTCAGTGGTTCTCTAAAAGAAGACATTTGTATGTATTTCCCATAGGGTCCTATGTTAAACTAAGTCCCCCGCTGGCGGCCATCTTGGATTATGGATCAGCTACAAAGTAACAACACTTGGTCAGCACCTCATAAGGAACATTCTTGCTATGTTTGGTTTCATTCCATTCAGTGGTTCTCTAGAAGAAGTTCAAAATGTAAAATGTTAACGACGACGACGGACGAAGGACGCCAGATGTAAAATGAAAGAAGGTAGATCAACATTCTGAACATTTTTGGCCACCTGTAAGATTTTCTCTATCTATATGTATCAGTTTTCAAGATAATAGAAAAAACTTGCATTTTACCTCTATGTTCTATTCTCAGCCATTTCAGCCATGTAGGTTGGTTCCATTCTTTTTTCATGTGTATGTTTATATGGAATCAAGGATATATATTCATGTACAGTAAATACTGAAATTTTTGCTATGTTTTTATTTTTAGCAAAAATTGGGACAAGACAGGTGTTGCAAAATTAAAAACTTGCATTATAAATTTTGATAGCAGTATTGGTATGCAACTTTCATGAAAAAACTAATTAAACTTGCATTTCTGTCGATTGTCCCACAATTATAAATGCATGCAACAATTTCTTAATTTACAACATATAATTTCCGATGAAGGAATCCCTATTAGCCATATCTTACGTGAAATATTTCTACATGAAGAAGATTTCTGCCTGCGGGATGATGTTGAACTGGTAATGGTCTAGATGAAGGCAGGTATCCCTGGAATAGTCCATTCATTACCAGAAAGCCCACTGTTAGACATAATATTAAAGTTGAGGGTTGGTGCTGTTCTAAAATACAAAAAAAAAAACAAATGGTAATCATGTTAATTACATGTACTTCTTACCTGCATAACTAAGTTTTGAAAATATTCTACATGTATTACACATATAGAATTATTATATGTTTTGCAATGTGTGGTGTCACTTGTAGAGCAGGTACTACTGACCATTCTAAAGTACCAATCTTCACCAACTTCAACTCGATTTTGTTGGAGTTAATGGTGCTCAATTTTTAGTTTTCTGTGCATAGTATTTTGTTGGTTGTATGTTTCCCCCTTTCTTTTGACAAGTGTGTTGTCAGTTTTTCTCTTTCTTTTGACAAGTGTGTAGTCAGTTTTTCATGAACTTATTGCGAACCCAATGAAAGTTTTCCACAGTGCCATCTCTATCTTGACCAGGTATTTAAACTTTTGCAAGTTCACCTGTCCTATTGAATAGATACAATAGCTATTGTTCTCTGTGTAGTTTATTCTCTGGGACCTTTAAATTTCTTCTAAGAGAAATCTATCATTCATTGATTAAATTACCTGAGTAAAAAAAATTTCTTATATATAGACAAAAATACTGTTTTTATACTCATTAACTGCGTGTGATGATGTAGTTATTCAATATTAATAATATATATTTTCATTCAGTTTAATATAAACATTGATTCAATCATAAAAATTTGATTTCTGACAAAACTTTCAACATTGTTCCTTTTAAAAAAAAATTTGTTTGACATAAATAAGAACTTGAAAATAATGATGTTTCAAATTAAGATCTTCTTAAATGTATTCTATAACTAAACAAAAAAAAATCAAATTTCAATAGGAACATTGATAAAACTTTTGTTAGAAATCAACTTTTTATGATTGAATCAATGTTTATATTAAACTGAATGAAAATATATTATTAATATTGAATAAATACATCAGCACACGCAATTAATGAGTATAAAAACAGTATTTTTGTCTATATATAAGAATTTTTTTTTACACAGGTAATTTAATCAATGAATGATAGATTTCTCTTAGAAGAAATTTAAAGGTCCCAGTGAATAAACTACACAGAGAAAAATTGCTATTGTATTCATTCAATAGGACAGGTGAACTTGCAAAAGTTTAAATACCTGGTCAAGATAGAGATGGCACTGTGGAAAACTTTCATTGGGTTCGCAATAACAAAATGCTAAATTTTGTCATGTGTTACAAAGTGAGCACTAAGAAAGTATAATTATTTGTGGGGTGCAATTTTCGTGGATTTTGAGGTTCATTACACAAGTCAAGTGATTTTTACAGGATGATGAGGGAAAATTAGAAAAGAGTGGTCAAATTTTTTGAAAGGGAAATCTGTTAAATCATCAAGTTGTCTTAATATGGCTTTGAGAAAGACCAGGCAGATGCATAGAAAAATGTCATGTGATATGACTTTTTCTACCTCGAAACAGCCACTTCCAGTTTTTGCCAGTAAAGTTAGCATTTTACTAAACCTGAACACCTGTCTTTTATCTTTTCTGGCTTTCCATGTATAATGATAATAACGATCATTAAAACCATTTTCTTTATCCATTATAATCATTTACATGTACGGTACATGTTTCGCAACTTTAAAATAAAATGTAATAAATTTTATCATGCATCAATTAGAAGAAAAAATATATCCTAATTTTACAATCTGGCCGATAGAAACATGAGTCATAATAGGCAAACTGAGTACAATTCTATACAAATGTAAGACATGCACATGAATTTTTTTAACAAATAAACAAATTTATTTAAAATTAGAAATAACAAACCTTTCTTTTTCTGCTTTCTTCTCCAGACCTGATACCATACATATTGTGAAAACAAAACTAAGTCAGAGAAAACAAAATAAACTGCCAAATATATCTGAAATAGTAAATTAGCAAATTAGCAAAAAAACAAAATATTCTGTTAAATATGTCTAAAATTGACAATAAATAGCTAGTGAAAGCAAAAAAAAAGCTAAATATTTGTATCAGGGCTCATGCTAGCAGGTGACTAGGGCGAAAAAGTCGCTTTGCCCGACTGTCAAAAGCGATATCTACTTGCCCCGTTGTTCACAATACTCGTTTATTAGTCGCTTTCGCCCTGTGAATTATGAACAAAGTGTAGTAGTCAGTCGCGAACCAGCTTATACGGACACAGGAATGCACAGCTGACAGAAGAATATTGATCCCAAAGGAAAAAATTTACGCATTCCACACGCATTAACAGACTTTTGGTTAGATCTACTTGCTTAATGTATATATATCCATGTATATGCACTGTTTCAATTTATTGATTAAAGTTGCTTAACTTTGTAAAATTTATATAGCTTTTTAACGAGAAACACTGAATTTCATAAACATGATAAACAGAATAGTTTTTTATTGAAATTTAAGTATTATATTATACTTTCTTTTCCTTTTTGATATAAAAAAAAAGTTCTTTTTAGTGCTAGATATTTAGTTGGTAGTTTCTGACAAGAGGGCTAATATAATTGTGCAACTAGAAATGATAAACTTAAACAACTTTGAATTTGAATTTGAACTGTTACTTTAATTGTATACTCAGGTATGAATTGAACAATATAAAAAAAATAAGATACATATGGCCCTTTATATTATAGTAAAAATCAAACATTGTAGCACTGCGAGCGAACGAGCACGTCTCTTTCAAATCTCACCACTTCTCCCTATCAGTTTCAAAAAGAAAAGTCACTTCTCCCTATGATTCTGAAGTAGTGTGAAAACTGTGTATACAAGATTGCTGCAATACTATAAGTTATATGATTTGCTACTGACCCCTACCTATCCCTATGGATCCCCTGAGGAGTTTACTTACCCTCTATGGATCCATAGAGGTCAGCATCGAACTGTATAACAAATTTATCACTCATGGGGCTTTTCCTGCCATGTTCTATGTGCTATATATACCATGGTTCTTACAAGTTAACATATTTAAACAAACAAATCTGATGGATGAGTTTGTTTAAATATGTTAATGAGTAAGACACATGATATATATAATTTGTAATATAAATAAAATGATTGATAGTTTGAATTAATATTAGACATTGACCTTGTTACTGATTTATCCAATGAGATGGCGGCTCCGCAACTCATTATTACACTTGACTCACAATGGTGGTCTAGCACACATGCAGATTTGTATCAAGCAGATGCGGAACAAAGATTTTGAAAAGGGGAGGACAAACTAAGCAACCATGCAGTTCCATATTTGGTAAAACCAAACCCCTTCTTATTCCGCCCTGACAAGGATATTAAGCATTATTCTAATGATTGTAAGTTTTGTTTTATTGTTAATTTTCAAGATATTGTAGAATTATTTTTATTCTACAGGTTGTCCAATTAATTTGAAAAAGTGCGTAAATTAACCTTTTAGCTTTTCGTACAAACGGCTTCGTTATTTAATTTGATTTATTAATTTACGTCCAGCAGGCCTTTAAGTGAGCATAACAAAACTTTTAAAACAAAAATTATTACTACATTTATGCATTATTTAAAAAAAGATCTGTTTTTTCTTATTTTTGTAGGATTGGTTAATGGTTCTCATTTAAAGTCATATTTATACAAATTCTTAAGAAGCGGCAAAACACAATTATAAGGATTATTACCAAACACTTAAGACAACAAAAATATTACAAATGGGTTTCATGTTTAGTTATCAAGTATCAGGTAAAACATAAAATTGCAGATAAATAGACCATGGTTTTCCCTCAACACACTTTTTAAGCAAATTATTTCATTAAAACATAAAAGGAAAAAATGCAATTTATATTACAAATAAAAATATACAATGAAATACAATAACAGAAATAGTAGACATGATGGCCTAATGTTTGTTCAAAGTCTTTAAAGAAGGTGGTGAAGGGGTAATTTTCTTGCAACATGTTAGCAATTTTAATTTTTATTTCATGTGTTTTCCTGCTCTTTATTAACTCTTTATTGTTTCTTGCAAATCGGTAAAAAAAGCAACATGTTAATTAGCTATTTTTTTTTTATTAATTGTTAAATATCCATTCTATTTCCACTTTTAAAAGTAAGACGATATGGTATGATTGTCAATGAGAAAACTCTCCACCAGAAACCAAATAACGAAGATGTTAACAACTAAAGCATGTATAGGTCATCGTACAGCCTTAACAATTAGCAAAACCAATACCACATAGTAATCTATAAAAGGCCCCAGAAAGACAAATGTAAAACAATTCAAACTAGAAAACTAATGGCCTGATTTATGTACAAAACAATAAAGAAAAAAACAAATATGATATACAACAACAAACGACAACCATTTGTCCGTGCACATACCTCCATGTACGACCCTCTTGAAAGAATGAGTAGGCAAAAAGAAAACATAAAATATGTATACTACCAAAAAACACAATTGGACCAAAATAGCCGCAAACTATGATCATATGTACGTATTGAGCTAAAATTATATTCAATTATCAGAGCTATCCTTCAAAGACCTCAGGTTATATGCAGTTTTGAGGTTGTTTTTTTGGTATATAGTTAAACCTGTTTAAACTAAACCCTGCGTAAAAATCTAATATAAGTACAGGGAGGTATGTGCACAGACAAATGGGAAATAAAATGGCCATTTCACAATATGACTTTAATAATGAAATGATTTTTATAAAAAAAAAATGGGGGAAAAAATTGTATCCTTCAGCCATCTTTGTCAAGATATTAGGCTTAATGCCTGAATATATTTGTCAGGATTTCAGTTGGAAACATGTGACTTTATATTAATCATTGGGGCATTCACAATTCCTACATAAGATAATATAATAACTATTCTAATGCAATTTTTATGTTCCAATTTTTTCACTGGCTTAAATTTACCATCAAATTCTACAGTTGACATTTAGCAACTAGGAAGTAACCCAACATTTTGAATTGCTTGGATCAACAAATGTTCGATTACTAAAATATTTCAAAAATAAAACAACATTTATCTGTGATTTTATTCAAATTTGAATCTTAGAAGTAAAGTAATAACCTTCAGTTTGTAAGTTCTCATTTGTATGATCTCAAATTAAGCCATGACGTCTATGCGCCAAAACCATTCATGAAGTTTTGCAGAATTTTACTTTATTTCAAATTTATATATTTTTTCAAGCTCTATTGTATTATTTCTTTTTTTTAATGCATTAGAATTGGAATAGCAGTACAGTACTATAGTTTTGATTTGACGGTCGCAAATATCCGCTGTACTGTCACTGATATATTTCGCTAGTGACCATCAAATCGCCAATTGACGACAGCAACTCTTCAACTATAGTACTGTTATGCATCAATTGACACTAAGAAAGACTTTTAAAAAAATTCATTCTGATTCATATCTGTCTAAACTGGGAAAGCTGTAGAAACAAAATTTCTCTAAAAAATAAGAGAGGTTTAAGATAAATATCTTGATCATGATATTTGTGTATATTCCCTATGCTAATTGTTTATTTTGCTTGAAAACAGAGCTGCTATTTGGTTGGTCAAAATTAACCGATGGCAAAGGTTTAACATGAGAACTCTTGAAAAATCTATCAAGCTTACCAATGGTTTAAGATTGCAACTGGTTGCTATTTTGAGTAATGCCGTCTACATTTGGGTCCATCATACATACCTGTAATGGCATCTGACTGGTCAATATACTTCCAATCAGATTGGTGGTGTCTCCTAATGTCCACTGGGTTATGAGGAATACTGAAATTCCAGCCACACCTTGGATGTTTCTGCAATTGCTGACCATTTGACTGCAATTAAAATTATAACATTCAATTATGGAATTCAAAACTTATGAATAAAATGAGATATCAATAAGGCAGCAACCCAAACGATAAAATTAATCTTAAAATTTCTAGAGGTCAGCAAACTGTCTTTAACAAAAGACAGGTGTATATACAGTATACAATATTTCCTACTCTAAGCAATCTAATTAAAATAATTTTTCTAATTCTTTGGCAATTTAATCCTCTCTGGACCCATTGTTTAAAACTTAAATTAAAAATCATACAAGACTAACAAAGGTCAGAGGCGGGGTTAAACATGTTTTGTGAGATCTCAACCCTCCCCCTATACCTCTAGCCAATGTAGAAAAAACAAACACACAGCAATACGCACAGTAAAACTCAGTTTAAAAGAAGTCCGAGTCCAATGTCAGAATAGATAACAAAAGAAACTAAGTAAAATGACCGAAGGTCAGTGGTTCTCTCCGGGCACTCGATCCGGCTTCCTCCACCAATATAAACTGACCGCCATGAAATAGCACAATAGTGTTGAAATCAATCAATCAATCACATTTTTAGGGGTTAAACAAGGTCTCTAATTGTGTGCATTACCATAATAATGTGCTTACCATGGCATAGCATAGCATAGCATAGCATAGCATAATGTATATTGTGTATCGTATGATATCATATTGTATTGAATTGTATTGCATTTCATTACATTGCATTTCATTGTATAATGCTTTATAAATTTTATATTGTTACAAATTGTTCATGGTAAAAGTGTGTCCTATCATTTTTTCATATTTAAGAAAAAAATAAGTTTAAATTAATCACAAACAAGAGGCTGTCAGAGTGACAGCAAACCGGATTTGCCTGTAGAGGTCGAACCCTGAACAGTTGGACACTACATTTAAGCTAAAAACTGCTCTGAATTTGGATTGTGGTTGAATATTTGACACAGCATAGGTTTGTGACACAAAATGAATGTGGTCAAAGAACTGAAATATTTGAAATTGGACATTTACCTATTATGGTCCAATATCCAAAATCTAAGTACATTGTCAGAATCAGCATATCAAAGAACTCCAAAAATTCAATTTTTGATGAAATCAAACAAAAGTTTAATTTAGGACCCTTTGGACCACAATGTGGACCAATTTGATAAAGGAGCTCACAATCCGAAATCTCTCAATACATGGTAAGATTCAGCATTTCAAGGAACCACTTAAATTCAATTTTTGTGAATCAAACAAACTTTAATTTTGGACCCTGATTTGGACCAACTTGAAAACTGGGCCCAAAAATCTAATATTTAAATACAGGTTTAGATTCAGCATTTGAAAGAACCCTATATATGTTTAATTTAAGTTGAAATGAAACACAATTTTATTTTATCCATATATTTTCTGTGCAAAGGGAAATAACTCAAACTGGATAAATAGATATGATTATAAGAAATAAACCAGTGAATTGATGACTAAGTTCTATAAAATTAGATATGATGTAATTTTTCAAATTATAATCAATAATATAATAACAACAACCAGTGATGACTAAGTTCTCTAAAATTAGATATGATTTAACACTCAAACATTGTTAAAATCAGCATATCAAAGAACCCAAGAATTCAATTGTTGATTAAACAAAAGTTTAATTTTGGACCATTTGTACCTCGATGTGGTATTATCTAACTAATAATGAAAATAAATACAGGTTTAGATTCAGCATTTCAAAGAACCCTATATATATATTCAATTTATGTTGAAATCAAACACAGTTTAATTTTGGACCCCGATTTGGACCAACTTGAAAACTGGGCCCAAAATCAGAAATCTAAATATATGTTTATTAATAGACAATATAAGCTAAGTTTTTGAAAGGAGTTCACCTAATCAAAATATCTAATAATGAACAGTAAATTTCCAACTACATTTACTCCTGTATAGCTTTTAATCATCAACACTTAGAAAACAGAAAATTTTCAAATAAATCTGTCATTCAAGATAAGACATTAACCATAAGTTTACTATTTAGTAAAGTGATAACAGGACATATAAACACGTGAAAATTATCTATAAAGGCTTTAATAGTGTAATCAAACTTTATGTATATAATTAACAATTCCTGTTCAAAGGAAAATAACTAAATCACAAAAAAATACCACTTATGGATATTAAAAAAGCTAAAATCGTGAAAATTGAACTTGACCTTCATTTAGTCGCAGGAAACAACATATCTAAATTTGAAAAAATTTTGTTAAAGGGTTTTCATGTTATTGAAGAGACACTGTTTGGCAGCCGCCCGTCCGCTCGTCCGTCCGTCCGCCGCCCGCCCGCCGTACATCCCCAAATCAATAACCGATTTTTACTTTGAAAATCCGATTAATAAAATTCATTACACAACAGTTTCATCAAATAGCCAATGACATTCCAATAAATCATATTTGGCCTATTACTCATTCTCATCTTAATAAACCTGTATGTTAACAATATTTGGTTGAAAATATTTTCTATAGGTAGGCAAATAAAATCTTAAGCGAAAAGTTAATCTATAATCCTTTGCTCAGTTTATACTTACGGTGTACTAACAAAAACCCATAATGCAATGGATAGTAATCCAAAAATATCAGATGCGTATTCATTTGAATTTGTCACACAGTCACCAAGTAACACATACAACCATTGTACTCCATCACTACAGTTACCTTTTGTGAGGTTATGTATGCTGTCATAGTGATGGCCTCCAAGTAACCATGGATACAAATGTGGCATTTTTAACAACGCCTGAAATAAGTATTAATTTATTAACAGCAGATATTCATACATGTTCTATAACATGAAATACGTGTTTCTTATTCGATATGATATATAGGCATTTATAGCATTATACATATGTACAAAAGAGTAAGTTATGTTCTCAAAAGTATATTTTTTAAAGAAAGCAGACTATGGCTGAAATAAGACATCATTTAAATAAATAATTGTATCAATTCAACTTCCTTATTAATTATATCATATTCTATTCTATTTTATTCAAATCTTTTCTTGCTATTAATTTTGATTCATTTTTCCAGTGTCTTCATGATTGACTGTTCATGACGTCGCAGTATGAAATCTTCTCTAAAGTATAGCTACTAGTATTATGGTGTAAGATGGCATGATTTCCATATCAGTCAGTTCCCTCCTAGTCTTTGTGATAACTAATGTTAACTGCCAGTATTCTTGATATGGTATAATTAAGTATTGTTTTACTTGTGCTTTTGTTTTTGTTATCAATAACTGTGGATACATTTATTTTCATGATTACCAAATTTATATCATAATATGGAATGAGGAAACCTTCTATTTTCAAGGATGTATGAATTTGTGCTTTTTACAAATTCTGCATACAAGCCTATATATAGTATAATAAGGATTCTTTTTTGGTCTATCGAACCTTAAATAACATCCTGCAGATGTTCATAAGACATTTGTCTGTCGGACATCACTATTTATATTTTTAAATTTTGTCTTACATATTGGCATTAGCTTTTCAAACTCCTTACATTTATTGCAAAACAACAAAAGCCTCATTTTGTGAACTTGTCATTAATATTTAGTATAGATGTGAGCAAGAGCTTTACCTAAAAACTAGAGGCTCTCAAGAGCCTGTGTCGCTCACCTGTATTTACTGATGCTTTGGAAATCACGTAAAATAAGGTTAAAATCATAATCAATAGTATTAGATATTATAATGATATCTAAGATAATAACAAAAAACCTGCAAAATTTTTGTAAAATTACTAACTCAGGGGCAGCAACCCAATAATGGGTTGTCGGAATCGTCTGAAAATTTCAGGGCAGATAAATCTAGATCTGATGAACATTTTTGCCACCTGTCAGATTTGCTCTAAATGCTTTAGTTTCAGAGGTATAAACCAAAAACTGCATTTTACCCCTATGTTCTATTTTTAACCAAGTCAGCCATGATGGTTGGAAGGCTGGGTCATCGGACAAATTTTTTAAACTAGATACCCTAATAATGATTATGGCCAAGTATGCTTAAATTTGTCTCAGTAGTTTCAGAGAAGAAGATTTTTGTAAAAGATTACAAAAATTTACAAAAAATTGTTAAAAATTGACTATTAAGGGCAATAACTCCTATAGGGGTCAACTGACAATTTTGGTCATGACAACTTATTTGTAGATCTTACTTTGCTGAACATTATTGCTGTTTACAGTTTATCTGTATCTATAATAATATTCAAGATAATAACCAATAAAATGCTCCGCAGGGCGCAGCTTGATACGACCGCAGAGGTCGAACCCTGAACAGTTGGGGCAAGTATGGACACAACATTCAAGCTTGATACAGCTCTGAATTTGGATTGTGATTAAATATTTGACACAGCATAGGTTTCTGACACAGAATGAATGTGGTCTAAGAACTTAAAAATTTTAAATTGGACATTCACCTATTATGGTCCAATATCCAAAATCTAAATACATGGTTAGATACAGCATATCAAAGAACCCCAAGAATTCAATTTTTGATGAAATCAAACAAAGTTTAATTTTGGACCCTTTTGATCTCAATGTGGACAAAAATGATAACAGGGCCCAAAAATCAAAAATCTAAATACATGGTTAGATTCAGCATATCAAAGAACCCCATATATTCAATTTTTGTTGAAATCAAACAAAGTTTAATTTTGGATCCCGATTTGGACCAACTTGAAAACTGGGCCCATAATCAATAATCTAAATACATGTTTAGATTCAGCATATCAAAGAACCCTAAAAATTCAATTTTTGTTAAAATCAAACTAAGTTTAATTTTGGACCCTTTGGACCTTTATGTAGACCAATTTGAAAACGGAACCAAAAATTAAGAATCTAAATACACGGTTAGATTCGGCATATCAAAGAACCCCAATAATTCAATTTTTGATGAAATCAAACAAAGTTAAATTTTGGACCCTTTGGACTTCAATGTGAACCAATTTAAAAACGAGGCCCAAAATCCAAAAACTTAATACACGGTTAGATTCAGCATATTACAGAACCCCATATATTCAATTTTTGTTGAAATCAAACAAAGTTTAATTTTGGACCCCGATTTGGACCAACTTGAAAACTGGGCCCATAATCAAAAATCTAAATACATGGTTAGATTCAGCATATCAAAGAACCCCATATATTCAATTTTTGTTGAAATCAAACAAAGTTTAATTTTGGACCCCGATTTGGACCAACTTGAAAACTGGGCCCATAATAAAAAATCTAAATACATGGTTAGATTCAGCATATCAAAGAACCCCATATATTCAATTTTTGATGAAATCAAACAAAGTTTAATTTTGGACCCTTTTGATCTCAATGTGGACAAAGTTGATAACGGGGCCCAACAATCAAAAATCTAAATACATGGTTAGATTCAGCATATCAAAGAAACCCATATATTCAATTTTTGTTGAAATCAAACAAAGTTTAATTTTGGACCCCGATTTGGACCAACTTGAAAACTGGGCCCATAATCAAAAATCTAAATACATGGTTAGATTCAGCATATCAAAGAACCCCATATATTCAATTTTTGTTGAAATCAAACAAAGTTTAATTTTGGACCCCGATTTGGACCAACTTGAAAACTAGGCCCATAATCAAAAATCTAAATACATGGTTAGATTCAGCATATCAAAGAACCCCATATATTCAATTTTTGTTGAAATCAAACTAAGTTTAATTTTGGACCCTTTGGACCTTTATGTAGACCAATTTGAAAACAGAACCAAAAATTAAGAATCTAAATACACGGTTAGATTCGGCATATCAAAGAACCCCAATAATTCAATTTTTGATGAAATCAAACAAAGTTAAATTTTGGACCCTTTGGACCTCAATGTGGACCAATTTAAAATCGGGGCCCAAAATCCAAAAACTTAATTAATACACGGTTAGATTCAGCATATTAAAGAACCCCAAGAATTCAAGAATAAAACCCCATTGAAATTGATCAAGAAATAAGCAATTTATACGAAGTATCTTCTTTTGCACAATACTGTGCAATTGATTATTTCTTGCTATTGCGCAATACTGTACAATTGACAATTTCTTGCTATTGCGCAATATTGTGCTATTGGATATTTCTTGCTATTGCGTAATACTGTGCAATTGAAGATTTCTTGCTATTGCGCAATACTGTGCAATTGAAGATTTCTTGCTATTGCGCAATACTGTGCAATTGAAGATTTCTTGCTATTGTGCAATACTGTGCAATTGAAAATTTCTTGCTATTGCACAATACTTATTATATAATAATTTACACATCCTGTTTGGTGTGTATCTCCTACCATCTCATTATTATTTGCTTTTAAATATAAATCAGAAATAACCAACTTAAAATGGAAAATTTTAAAAGAAAAAAAAAAGGAAAAAAAGAAATAAAAATAAAAAAAAAAATCCCCCCCCAAAATTTTTTGAACCCCCTTATGATTCATCACCCCCAAACTCAATACCAGCCTTCCCTTTGTGGTATGGTACCTTGCAGTACAATTTCAGAGAGATCCATACACTTGAACACAAGTTATTGTCTGGAAACTAGAAAAATGCTTATTTTTGGCCCCTTTTTGGCCCCCAATTCCTAAACGTTTCGGGCAATTACCCCCAAACTCAATTCCAGCTTTCCCTTTGTGATATGGAACCTTGTAGTACAATTTCAGAAATATCCAAACACTTACACACAAGTTATTGTCATGAAACTAGAAAAATGCTTGTTTTTTGCCCCTTTTTTGGCCCCTAATTCCTAACATTTTGAGGCAATTACCCCCAAAATCAATTACAGCCTTCCCTTTGTGATATGGAACCTTGTGGTACAATGTCAGAGAGATCCATACACTTACACACAAGTTATTGTCTAAAAGTTACAAAAATGCTTATTTTTGGCCCCTTTTTGGCCCCTAATTCCTTAACTGTTGGTACCATAACCCCCAAAATCAATCCCAACCTTCCTTTCGTGGTATTGAACCTTATGGAAAAATTTCATGGAGATACATTCACTTAAACTAAAGTTAGAGTGCGAAAACCAATGTGTCTTCGGACGATGCCGGACGACGACGACGACGACGACGCCGTCATACCAATATACGACCAAAAAATTTTTAATTTTTGCGGTCGTATAAAAACTGCAAAATTTCCTTAAAATTACCAATTCAGGGGCAGCAACCCAACAACAGGTTGTCAGATTTGTCTGAAAATTTCAGGGCAGATAGATCTTGACCTGATAATCAGTTTTACCCTGTCAGATTTACTCTAAATGCTTTGGTTTCAGAGATATAAGCCAAAATCTACATTTTACCCCCTATGTTCTATTTTTAGCCATGGCGGCCATCTTGGTTGGTTGGCGACGTAATCGAACATATTTTTTAAACTAGAACCCTAATGATGATTGTGGCTAAGTTTGGTTAAATTTGGCCCAGTGGTTTTAGAGAAGAATAGCTTTTGTAAAAAGCTAACGACGACCGACGACGACGACGGACGATGGACGCCAAGTGATGAGAAAAGCTCACTTGGCCCTTCGAGCCAGGTGAGCTAAAAATTGTTGCTACAAAATATTTCCAAAGATGCTTATATGTGTAAAATATCTTTTTGGGAACATAGCTCTAGATCTTGCTCACATATATTTTGACCAAAAATTATATGTGAAATAGCCATCTTAGATCAAATAAGTAAATTTCTATGTTTAAAAAATATAAATACTTATGTGTGACAGACTAATGTCTTATGATAATTTTGAAGATTTACAATACTTTTTGATTTTCGAATTCAAGGGGCCAAAAAGGTGGCTGTATCATACCTTCTCCTGTGATAAAGCATTCTCTAACTTTTGTATGTTGTGTGGACAGATGAATAAGGATATACAATAATATGAAAATAATGAAATGTGGTGTGATTGCAAATGAGAGAACTATCAACAAACAACCAAAGGACGTGGACGTAAACATCTGCAGGTCACTGTACAGGCTCCAACAATGAGCAAAACCCATAGAAACTAATGTTATCAGACAAAAGGTTCAGGGTTGACAAAATGTAAAAAAAAATATTCAAAAAGATAAATCCAACATCCTGATTTATATTTACACAAAAAAAGAACTAGATATGATTGTTGCCCACCTCTGCTCTGCCATATTTGTATGAGTATAGTTCCACATACTTTAGATTTGACAAACAGTGATGTTGAAGTACAACTTGAAATTGTTGCACTGTCTGTAAGACACAAATGATGCCCCTGACTTACCATAAGAAATTATAAATTTAACACTATGTATGATAATCTATCTTTTATTTTTATTCTGAGTACAAAAAAATTACTTAGTCCAAATAGAGACATATATACTAAATGTATTTATATGTCTCTGGTCCAAATACCTGGCATTTTGAGAATATTTGAAAAAAAAAACGAAATCCTGTGGACATAAACATTTTCATTACCCCCGGTATGTGTACAAATAACCTACAAAGTATTAAAGCTTTAGCTCAAAAATTGTAGGAGGAGATAGCTGGACAAACCATGTATCTATGTCCAGACGGACGAACGAACTAATGGACTGACAACGGATGGATGGAGAGGTGTAAACTAATATGCCCCTCAACATTTTGTTGCAGGGGCGTTTAAATAATTATGACAGACATCAAAGAAAACCATTTGCTTACAGGGTCCTTGCTCATGAAAGCCACGCTCATCAAAGCCGTATAAAGAAGTTTTTGAATGCTCAACCCTTCACCTCACTTGGAACAGTGATATAAAAAAATGTAAAAATTAGTTGCAAAGGACTGGATTCATCAGATCAGTACTTTAAAGCATGAAAACAACAAACAAAAAGACAAAATACACAAGGTGCATTAGTGATAATTATGGACTTATGTTTAACCCCACCACATTTTGTATATGCCTGTCCCAAGTCAGGAGCCTGTAATTCAGTGGTTATTGTTTGTTGCTGTATATGATGTTTGTTTTTTGTTTATTATTTTCTACATAAATTAGGCTGTTCATTTTTTCGACTGTTCCTTTTTTCGTTTGAGGTTTTTTACATTTGTCATTTCAGGACTTTTTATAGCTTGCTATGCGGTATTGGGTTTGCTCATTGTTGAAGGCTGTACGTTGACCTATAATTGCTAACTTGCTATTTGGTCTCTGGTGGAGTGTTGACTCATTGGCAATCATACCACATCTTATTTTTATATTACATGAAAAACTTACTGTACTTGAAAAAGAGTGGTCTAAGTAAGTGTAAATGTATAAACACAAGCTTTATATGCCCAACCAACATTTTTAGCATGGTATAAAAATACTACCTTCCAATGGCAACTGGCAAATTGGCAACTAGTCTTTATTCAATCACAGGTTTCAGAATAGCATTGTTTTACCTCCACTATTAACAGTCTAAAAATAAAAATAATCAAAGAGCTGAAAGCTCTGAGGAAAAATGACGCCACTGTCTCTAATATTGTGATATTTTTTATGCAAATCTTGATTTTCACATACCGTAATTAGTTTAACATTCCAACATGTCTCATAAGCATATAATTGATATTCGTATATGTGTGTGTTATGTGAAGATGCCAACTGGCTGTTTTTTTAGTACAAATGTATAGGTCAAGGCTACCTGAATGATCTACAGTATCCAATGACTACTGGCTGTTTTTTTCTATAAATAAATAGGTCAAGACTACCACAATGATCTACAATATCCAATGACTACTGGCTGTTCTTTTGTACTAATAAATAGGTCAAGACTATTTGAATGATCTACAATATCCAATGACTACTGGCTGTTCTTTTGTACATATAAATAAGGACTACCTGAATGATCTAAAGTATTCTAAGTAATGTGATTTTTGTCTTGCAATTACATTTTTCTAAATCAAGAATATAGACTACTAGTATCCTTTTCAAACCAAATGATTATGAAGAGCCTGTTGTTATCAAGCTCTTATACCCCACATACTCATTAAATAAGTTACTAGTGACCTAGTTATTTCTGTTACTTGAAGCAAATTATATTTCTGTAGATTTAGACAATAGTATAATATTGTTTTACTAGTTTTATTTCACCTTGAAGATTAGACAAATAGGGATACTCCTTTGATTTTTTATTTCATGTCAGTCAGGTCGCTTTATATGAAACTTGAAACCACTTCTCTGCCATATTGTTATTTCATAACAACTCTGCCCTTGACCATGTTGACCCATGTAATTGATATTCATTCTTTAACCATATATCATAGTCAGTTAGTTTTTGATTTTGCACTCCCACACCACCTTTCAGGTCAAATGTCTGTCTCCATTTAAGTTAATGACATTGAACAATCATGGTATTAAACACAATTCCAATAGTGATAATGCTGTTCTAGTAGGTCACCATATATTCAACTCGGGTAGCATTCCAGTTATTGAAATTTGTGTCAGATTAGAACAATGATCTAGACCTTTAGGAATGGATCTTACAATTTAATATGGAGCCATAGTATGGGACCCCTACACGGTAACAAAAAAAAAACAAGCTTGAAAAGATACGTCAAGCGGCAAAATCTATCACCAGAAATTACAAGTCAAGAGAGGATGGACGGGATACGTCTCTAAAATGCTTGCCTAACTGGAACTACAACAAGATCTCCAGACAAGACGAACAAGGAATTGAAGCCAGAAGTTAATATTTATGTAAAAAGTAGTTGAGGGGCTGATTCCCGCTATTGAACCATACTGTCATTCTATAATATTATTGCGTAAGTATTTCTGTATTGTCCTTGTTATTGGTTCATGTCTTGGTGTATTGGTCTGAGGCGAAGCCGAAGGCCAATACTGCTGGCCGAGGACCAACAATAAGGCCAATACAGAAATACATGTAATAGTATCTTTATTAATTAACCATGATTAACTACAGTGTTACAATATTTTTTTATTTCATTTCACAAGAGATAAACATTTTTACCTTGAAGTGGAACTATCCAAATCTCAGTTTCTTTTTATAAGATGCAATATCTAATGATTTGGTGCCGTTTCCATGCATCTTCAGCCTTTTCTCATCTGATGAATTTTTCTACCCTTTCCAGTCACTATAAAGTGTTACAACTTTAATTTAGACACAACACATAAATAGTAATTGGAAAGGTACTGCCATTGCATGTGTAATGCAAATATATTTTTTTTTTAAATAATGTAAGAGTTGAAATTGATACAACTATCCATAAGCCAATTGACCAAAGAACGAAGATTTGCGCAATTACAGAATGCATATGCCTGGTTCGGGTTTAAAAATAAAAGACCGTTTACAAAACATGAGAAGCGAAAGTGAACAGTAAAAATCGACATGATGAAGTTATGAGGTCGTCAAGAAATGAACTTTGTGATAATTTACTCGTTCCCTAAACCTGAAATAATTCCATCGTCTACTTTCAAAATGCTTTTCAAATGAATGGGACCGTCTTTAACCTAAAATATATGCCATACTGAACGTTTCAGCTTGTTTATGGTGAGTAAATAAAAACTGCGTCGTACAAACAACTGTTTACTTTCAGTTTGAGTTTATCATGACTTACGATCTAAAAACTAGAGACGTTCCGAAATCCTGTTTTGGCCGGATCAGAACTCGGCCAATACGGAAAACAAATCTGTATCTGTCCATATTTACAGACTCTGCTGCTATAACTTTGTGAACAAAGATTCATACGCACCGCGTGGGTATAACCGTATTACTAATTTCCGATTATTAAAATCTTCGTAAATCTTGATAAAGACCAGTTTCTATCCAATGGATATCAAAATGATTCCGATTATTACTTTTTTAATGATTGTAAAGTTGAAATGGCATGAAAGGCTGACATTATTTAGGAGAACTATTTTGTCTAGCGATTGCTGATCATTGGAGGGTAAAAAGTCCAACACCATAACAAAATGGATCTATTTATCATGTATAAATACCGATTGTTTACGATTGTAAGACATGTGCATAAAAGTGAAAGCTCGAATAAATATGAAAAATATAACAAAGGGATAGCTCCAAATACCATTTAATAACAAAAAACATATGGACAGGTCAAGATATCTTTTTGGTAAATGAAATAACGTATGTAAACTGGTTCCCGTCCGACTACAACACTTTAACAAAGACTTTGTTAGAGTGTAGCGTAATACAAGCAGATTCCAGTTAGTATGTAAAACAGTAAATATGAAACCGAGTGCGGTAGGCGGAGGCATAATCAACTTCCGTTAGTTCTGGTCAATGGTATCGGAAACATGCCGCTGATAGCGTCATTTTCCAAAAAACAGATTATAATTCATATCTCACTCACAACAATTCGAATTCAAATGGCTACTAAATCATGCAAACATTAAAACACATGGCATCGTATCATGCATACAGTTGAGAGTATCGATGTATACCTAATATTGATGATTAATTATTTATAAGTATGTATTCCAAAATGGACCTTATCAGAAAACTTCTGACTTGCCTAAGACTGACAAAACAGTAACCTAAAAAGTCACACCAATGTTAGACGTTTTGAGACAAAGTCATTCTTCTGGTTTCGAGAGATTTACAGTGAATATTCATGATAACTCTTGAAGTAAGACCAAAGTAGAGAAAGAAAGGGGGAGGGGGGATTTTCCTTTCACCAGCACTTGTCTTTGGATTAGTCAGAAATTTTAAGAGATTAAGCTGATTATATTTGTTCTTTGCAAAGCAAATATGTATAGCCCTGTTAATTTATGCTTCATTTTATTAATTCATGGACTCTTACACCATATTTTCAAATAATAAGAATAAGAATACAGCAAAACTGTTTCTTTAAATTCATTTCCTTTATGTATACTTTCCATTTGGTATAAGATATGTCACAATATAAATAATTTATATTTACTCACATATATATGTTTATTTTATAAAACAGTACATATATCTTGTGGCAAAACACATTATGCATGTAGTATCATGACCTTTGGTCAATATTAATCACAAACAATATATTTTTGTAATCTATTACCATCCATTTACATAATGTCCCTAATTTAACTGACCATTGACCTAAAAGGTCACAATTAAATAACAGTATTCAGGTCATTATGCAAAAAATGTTCTAAATTATCCAACAAAAAATTGTTCATGGGGTTATTTTTAAAGCCTGTTCAATCATGTATAAATGTACTGGTCTTGTTGCTAAACTGAGATGTTTAACAATCGAATCGAAGTAACTATTTTCAATCAGTTCACAGCTAAAAAATATGTAGGAAACAAATTTTAATACTTTCATTTCTTTTAATGCCTTTTTATATATATTTTTCTATTGATACTGATATGATCCAAATACACATCCAAACATGACAACAATCATTGAAAATGCATTTTAAATATTCTAAATGTAAAGCAAAATGATAAGACACAAGTTACTTAGAACATTTTTTCCTTGTATACTGTGTAATGCAATATATTTTAATAAGCAAAGTAATATTTCCTTACAACTTTTTTTTTAAAGTATATGAGTATATGTTAATATCATCACTTTCCCCCAAAATCAATAGATCTACTTTAAGATCAAGAAAAAATATATGTAGTCAATTCTAATATGAAAAATATGACAATATAGATTATTTCCAGGAACCAGTTACAAAAACCAGTTTAATAGTCTAGTGAAGACAGTCATGAAATATGACCCCTTCCAGATAAAAATAATCATGTAATTGAATTTCAGTAGACACATTTTACATAATAAATCATCTCCATGCCAGGGGTCATGACCTTATGTAATTAGCTAATCCTCCTGCTAACTATGTCCTCAACATGACACTTCTGCCAGTTCCCTGCCCCATGGGAATTGCAAATATACTTCCTGGAGATTTTTCACAGATAAAGCATTAAAATCAATAATACCCATTCATTAATTGCCTGCAAGAATATATTTGGTTAAATTTCTTAATTGTATCACTTAAATTTGTGTCTTGCATTAGTTGTCATACTGGGAAATTTTAAGTTATTAGCCAGATTGGCCAATTGGAAACTGTGAAATACTGATAATATTGAACATATAGTTCTGGCTACAAATGTAACATTATAAAAAGAGTATGTATAGAAAAGCTGCTGCAATAGTCCTGTTATTTACAGTTTCTAAGAAATTATTTAATCAGACTGAAATACATCAATTGTAGTGAAACACCTAGTTTTTCTCTTTATCAGTTTTCTTAATTCTAGTTAGATGGAATAACCCATGTCAAAAGTTTGAATATTTAAATATATATTAACACACACACTCGCTAGCTTGTGCAATCTAAAAATCTACTGGTAACAATATTCACCTATATTCTTGCAATATCCCTATACACCTATTATTACAAATATATATATTAAAATCAAAGGTGGAAAATGCATTGAGATGAAATCTGAACAAGTCAAAATCACTCACTAATACACATTTCAGGACCTCTGTCATTATTCATTATCTTATTTATCATACTTCTGACGAGACAAACATGGATAATTGCTCTGTGAGAAGTGTTTGTCGAAATAAGCCGTGTTTACAGTCCTTCTTAAAATAAACAATTCCTTGATTTTACCGAACAGTGTCTGAGTTAAATGTTATAAGATGGAAAACTTTGTAATACCCTAAGAGTCTTTAACCCTTATTGGGTCTCAAACTTGTGCAGCTTAAAGTCACAATATGCTGTCAGGAGAGAAAATATGAATTGACCTCCATAGATTTAAACCCTCCTCTTGCTTTTGCCATCTAACAAATCAAGCTTACTGTTTGTGTCATATATTTGCATAAGATGCATGTATATCATCAGCATCTTTCAGAGATTTAATTTCCAATAGCTAAAATGGTAAATTAAAAGTTTTTTCTTGTGTATCCATGGCAACAATCTGCATTTATTTGCCATAAAATATTGCAAAAGGGACATGTAAAAGGTCTCCTTAATTTGGTCAAAGTCGAATTGTAATCCTTTTGAGAGATACCTTTTCTGAAACCATTGACATATATCTCAAGAGATCAAATAATAGTCAGTTATTTTTCATCCCATTTTTAGTAAAATTGTGTCAGAAGTTCGTGTATTACGTAAAAATAAATTGTTGATCATTTCTATTTTTCATGAAAACTATAAAAATATGTTCTGCCTAATATATCAATAGTTAACCTTTAATTTGGTTTACATTTTGTCAATTATGGTTGTGTTGGATTTCAATGTTCATTTAGAGAAATCATTTAAAAAATATTTTGCTTTTATCAAAAATATTCTAACTTTTCCTTCCTCATGTTCCTTTTACATTTTTGAAGGTGAACCATTAAAAGATATTTCATTTTTGAGTTTATTTATTATGCCTAAATAGTCTATTTACCAATTCCTGTAATTGACTCTGTAATTAGAGATCTATTTTTTAGTTGTCTCCTTTAGGAGGGACATAAATTTTCATTGACAATGGAGAGCCAGTGGAAATTTATCTTTGCATAATGTGTGTAGCCTTTAAAAGTTTTTCAAATCTTTTAATAGACAACTTTCGAGTTTGTTGCATTTCCGTCAAAAACTTTGGTTTAAGTGAACATCATTCGTGCGTTTAGGGGCATCATCACTTCCATTCCTATGTTGAGCGGTTGGTTGAAAAAATGATAATGCTATATTTCACGAATTATTCGGCAAATTAAAGTCTTATAATTGATAATCAGCACTGCTGTCATTAGGGAATTGTGATTAAGCACTTACAGAACAAATATTATTTCTAGTTTATCCTGCATAATGACAATCACAAAGACGCTTGATGAACTTTAATAGAGCAGGGATACAGGCGATCCCCTCTATCTGGTAAATGACGTCACAAAGGCGCACAAAATTGACGAACTTTTCCGGTGAAGGACATAACTCGAAAGTGGTCTATTACATTAAATTTTTTGTTCATCTGAAATATTTTTTATAATCAAACTGAAAATTGGTTAAAACGCTTATGTATCACTTTCAACTTATCATGCTTTGCTTGGTTAGAAACCTTTTTAGTTCGATATAGAACTAGTCTACAATTAACAAATGGAAACAGACTCAGTTTGTGTTAAAAGTGTGTAATAATAGAATAAAATTGGTAATTGGCAAATGGCAAATGGACAATTGAGATTATTTAATATTTTTCTCCTTTTATTTAAGTTTTTGTAAATAAGAAATTGATGAGTCTTATCTTATTTCGCAATTTACCTATGTGTTACATTCTGATAACAATGTTCTTGTTTCTTTAATTTACTATCCTGAAGATTTATTTGCCTTTCCACAAAACAAGCAAAATGAACAAAGATGTTCCAATATATTGTTCACCTTTCCACAAAACAAGCAAAATGAACAAGATGTTCCGATATACATGTATTGTTCACCTTTCCACAAAACAAGCAAAATGAACAAGATGTTTCAACAGATTGTTTTGGATACAATACAGTTATATGAACTCTTAAGTAATCTCAACAGGGACTGCTGGGAATGATGTTACATGTATGATATTGGTGAGATTGTCTATGCCAATCTGTGGTACTTATTATATCTGTTTCTGATGACACCAAGCACCCAGCAGAACATCCCTTTGTTGTTTTATATTTTTACATTTGGGATGGAAGTTGAACCTTTTCCTCAGGGTTATGACCCATTTACAATTATCTGCATCATAAATGTGGTTTTATACGTCTTGATCAGTCTATATTGTACATGTTGTGCAGGGCAGCTTCAGCTAAATTATATACCGAGTTAAATTTTATTGCTGGTTAAAAGTTAATTGCTTATACATTTATTTGTTTTGTTACAAGTTTTATCATCATTATATGTTGTATCTAAATTTAATGTAATTATTAAGCTCAGTTTTGGCAAGGAATTATATAAATCCTTGGTTTTAGCAGAGACATGAATAGTATCTGTATATGTCTCTGGTTTTAGAGCACGTTGATTAGCAATACACCAAATCACTAATTGTCCGCCATTTACTGGACATCACATAGGTTCCCGTAAAATTTTGACGTCATAATAGAATATTTGATGCCACAATGGAAAAGTGATTGTTGTATGACATCAATAGTTCAAGAAGCGCATATTCTCACGTCAAGTGGCGCAGATTTCCAAATAGCAATAAGGTCCATCTAGACTATACCTTTTACTCAAATCATAAATCTATCTGTTGCATGTTTTTATCATAAGCAGAATTTATTTACGAAAATAATACCAGATATACCACTAGTGAACTGATCAAGTGCCACTCTTCCATATGAGTTTGACCAGGAACAGATATACTGTTCCCAGGTTTGACATCGGCAAATGGTAATTGTCCTGTGACTTTGTGTGTACCAATATTACCCCCCTTTTTCTTGCACTTTACCTTTCTAACGTTTCTACGATTTCACTCTAACCTCGTCTATTTTCACTGATGTATAAATCGTGACAAAGAAACTCAGATTATCTTCTATTATAATCAAATCAGGAGAATTTTAAAAAAAACTGACACAGCTTCAAACAACATTTATGGTAACCTTTGACCCTTGCCGATAACCTCCGTATTGTAACCGGAAATAGCCGAGCTACGTCTCCTTGCAGACCCTCAACAAGGTAGCCATACTTATTTACATGACTACAATCTTACGCCATCGTTGATTATCTGACCATCATAATAATCTAAATACTAGTGAGTATGAAAATTGAATACACGAACTCTAACAAAAATGATTTTGTTTCAATTTATGTAGGAGACAGAGCTTGGGAAACAAGCATCGGAAGGGTCCTTTTCCAGGACTAAACCGCTTCCTTTTCACGTTGAATGAAATGTCGAATGTACCAAAAGTGAAATCACCTACACCATCTCAAATAACAGGACATACGCAGCAGAGAAGTGTAACGTATCCTTTTTATGCATAGTCAACAATTGTTTTGATGTACTTCTTAGGTTTATTCATTTTATTTCATGTCAGTTTGCACGAGAACAGATGCCGGTTTTCGTCCTGTCACGTTTGCAGTTTTCGGGACAACTTATGTGAGATATATCCAAGTTCATTGAACTATTGATTGCAAAACTGATTTTAGAGTGATTTTTTTTGTTTATTTTGTTTTTTTTCTGTAGAAATAGTTCGACAGCTCGTTATGAAGGCGGGGCTTTTCGAACGAGGAACCACATTCTTTGAGCGTGCACATATCACATGACATTAATTACGACATCATGGAAAAGAGATGAAAACACATAACGGTGTTATTATCAACAGTATTTAGTATGTAATCAAAATGAATTTGGATATTTTGGAATATGTTTTATGAATTTTCTCTGAATTAACCCTTAAATGATATTTAGGATTCTTGACATGTGGTGATGTGTAATTTTTGTCAGATATTGGATATTTGCCAATACACAAATTATTAGTAGATACACAATAGTCTTTGTTGTAATGATGAACAAAAGTGAAAATAATAACATACAATGGAAGCTGTATATAATGAAAAGAAGCACTGATTATTAGATATGTACAATTTCCGAAAAGAAAGTAAGAATTCTTGTTTTGCTTATTTTGATGCCTTATATACTGTACATTATTAGTAATTTTATTAGTATGTTTTTTTTTAATTTTAATGTCTTTTCTAAATACCAGTGACATGTATTTTTCTTCTGAGTTTTTTTTTTTTTTGTTAAAGTTTTTAAGGTCAATCTGACATGTATTTTTATTGGTATATTATTAGGGTATTTCCTGGGAAAAACTCTGGCATTTTCAGAAAGTATATTGTAATGTTTATTTTTAGACAAAGTCACATTATTTAGAATTTCTTCTTTTGTTTTCGGGACTTCTTATTTTTTTAATTTTACTTCTAAAAATCAAAACAGTGTGCATTAGTACTGTATGTGCTATATGCTTTAAAAGCCTAATGATTCACAAATACATGAAAAGGATAACAGAAACCAATCTCCTCCCCCAATCCCAAAAAAAGCCAATTTGACTGTTTAACAGACCAAATCTTCCACTTCTCCGAAAAAGATGTACAGTTAGAAACAAGACATGATCCAGAGATAGCCTTACGTGGAACATATTTCAGGTAAAAAGGGACCAAGACTGGGTAAAAAATGTTGAAAATACATTTGATTAAAGACATACAATATATGGATGAGGAAATAAGGGATGATGGAGTGGCATAACTATGTAAATGTTAATGTGTTTCAGTTGCAGCTTATGGAAGTAAAAATCATGTTCAACATTTCCTGTTACCAATCTAACCAACTTATTTTATTGATCTTTTGGACAAATATATATATATATATACATTTGTATTTAATTAAATGTGCTATTGGCAATTTTATTAAAAAAAAGATCTGATCTCCAACCTCTTGAAACCAGTTAAAGTCAGTTTATGATCTTAAAACTTTTGCCAAATATGTATAAACTTGGGTTAAATTTTTAAAAATAAAGTCTTTGCCTTTTATCATATGTGCATTAAAATTTTTTAAAAGGTCAGTCCAGATTTTTTGATTTGCCTTCTAGTTTATATTTTTACAAGTAAAGTCTCTACTGTTAGGAACAAGGGCATCTTTTTATCATTGTCGTTACATCTGAAATGATATGTGTCCATGTGAATTAATGCAAGTACATTACAGGTATTTCCATGTAAATAATAGATAAAAATTAGGTATGTATATGCACATCTACAAATGCATTGAAGTGATATGATTCTTAAACATATTCCCTTTTGTAGCTCATGCTTTATGGGAAATTGTGTCAGTAAAAAGGGTAAGTTTATTCCCTTTGTTCCTTGTATAGTAGGGTGTCAGAGATATACTATTCTAGATCAAGAACTTGTATTATGTTTGCGGGTACCAGGTTGCAAATTAAAAGCTTTGTTGTGCTAGAAATGGGATGATTTAAAATATTTAAACTCTTAGTCCTTTTCCTTAACCTTATACAGTCCAAGAGGAACACCAAATTTTAACAGTTGTAAGTATATATGTATATGTTAGGCTGCATGCTTTTTGTAGGATCTGCTTTCATTAGAAATATTCACATATTGTATTTCATTCTTCTAGGGTATTATGGGTTAGTATGTTTTGTAGTATCTGGACTTGCACTACTGAGTGACTAGGATGAAGAAGTAGCCTTGGCTCCTTGACCGCCAAAAGCAATATGTTATCGCCTGGGTGTTTAAGCTCGCTCATCTGTAATTTTTCATTTTTTAATTAAGAAAATCAAAGACATTGACAACTAATATATTTAAGAAAAGAATGGAAATCATCGAATTTGTAGACGGATCATATATTATTTCAAAAGGAACAACTTTTCATGCAAACAAATCAAGGTATTTTTCTTTCACTTCTATCCATTGTTACATGAGGGTACATCATCAGATTTAGATTTTCATCAGAATTAATTTGTTACTTCATTAAAACATGACTATTGTTAATATTTGATCCATGAAACCGCAGCTAGATTGATAGCACAGCGGTTCCACAATGATGTTAGGGGCTGAGGAGAGCACTGGCTGTTTAAACAACCAGTCTACATCAGTCTTTTCTCTTAACCACACACCCATTAGCCCAGGATTGTAAAAATCTAGATATAAATTTTAGCATCTGGCCAGTGGATTCAAAAGTTTGTCATGAGACAGCTACATACATCATTGTGTATTTGCAGAAAAGGAAGGAATGAGCTTATGTGGGGTTGTGATACTTATTGTCTCTCGGGCATTGTCTCAAAGATCATTGAAATAATGTTAAGGCATGATTTGTTTTAGGGGTACCACAAGAGGAGCAAGTACAACAGCAGCCACAGTTTTACATTTCTCAAGGAGGGTTTTTTAATCCACAACAGGTGCAACAGGTATGTTACGAAGTGTATACTAAGTTAAATTCCTTCAATTTCCTCGATATCAATACTTAATTACTTGTTTATAATACTTGATATGAAAATACAATGTTAATCATGAAATTATGATAAAAAATTAGATAATAAAAATTAAATAAAATTTGTGCAGTCATCTATCAAATTTGATCTTCCTGTTAGAGAAGCATTTAACAATTAGATTACTTACAACATTACTTATAATGTAATTTTTATACGTGTATTTGTTGTAAATTTCATATACTATTTAGCCATTGATGTATGATAAGATTTTAAGAGATTCAAAAGTGAGCAGAGTATATTTATTTGTAATCTTTTTACTTAATGATATGACTTTCCTTTTTATGCCCCCGCTGTCACCGGAGGGAGCATTGAGTGTTACCCTTGTACGTCCGTCCGTCCGTACATCCCAAAATTGGTTTCCGTTCTCTAACTTAAGTTTGCCTCAACCAAATGTTATGAAACTTATACACAATACTTATTACCTTAAAACTCAGATCAAGTTAGAATTTGGGTGGCATCACTTTAACCGTTCTAGAGTTATGCCCCTTTATAAATGGAAAAATTGCAAAATTTTTAGTTTCCGTTCCCTTACTTTAGTTTGCCTCAACCAAATGTTATGAAACTTATACACAATGCTTATTACCACAAAACACAGATCAAGTTTGAATTTTGGTGGCGTCACTTAAATCGTTCTAGAGTTATGCCCCTTTATAAATGGAAAAATTGAGTGTTACCCTTGTACGTCCGTCCGTACATCCCAAAATTGGTTTCCGTTCTCTAACTTTAGTTTGCCTCAACCAAATGTTATGAAACTTATACACAATGCTTATTACCTTAAAACTCAGATCAAGTTAGAATTTGGGTGGAGTCACTTTTTATCATTCTTGAGTTTAGTCCCTTTATAACGTTATATGCAAGGTGGGGCATCATCTGTGTCCACTGGACACATTCTCCATTTATTTTGCTTGTGTATAAATTTAAGTTGATCTGTCCAAAAAAAATCTTGACACGGTATTTGGAATCTAAAATCTAAATTTCAATTGCCTACTCTAAATCTATTTGATACTAAATGATGGGGAAAGTGTATGCTTAAATTTTTTTTTTTTTTTTTAAGTATACTCTTATTTTTACAGCAATTTATTCAACAGCAGGTGAATCCACAACAGAACTATCCCCATGATATAAGTAAACAATTGAATAATCAACAGTTGGCACAAGGCCAAGCCCTTGCTCAGCAACAAAACATGTATCAACAACAACCACAGCAAAGGACACCAGCAGTATGTATATAAGATACAAAAAAGTCTAGTAGAAGGGAAAATGGGCATGGTCTGCTCTACTTTAATTAAGTGTTTTTGAGCAGCTTTTAAATTTATGATGCTAGGCATTTAGATTTTGAGGGTATAATGCCTTAATTTACCTGAAACTCTACCCAGGATGCATTTAATAATTTTGATGCAAGATTAAAAGTTTGAATTTAAATACATGAAGTAACTAGTTTTGACCATAACTTAATATAATGTTCATTGTACAATCAAAGGGTTATTGCATAAATATTGTTGAATATTATTCCACAAAGAATATATATTGCACTCACAAACTTATGCATTATAAAAACCTACTCTGGACAATATTCATACAATTAACCTACAATAAAATTGAGAATAGA